GGAAAAACTCTTTGTATGATCCATAGATTGTATTCCGGGTGTAGGTGTCATATGTATATGAACTTGTATGTTTGTAAACGCACCCACGACACACGAGAAAATACAAGTGCTACACTAGATTTTTCTCCTGTGTCGTCGCAACGTTTAAAAAAAATCAAAAATAAAATATTTTTGTTAGACCGAACTAGATCTATTGTAACATTGTTAAGTTATACAGAAAAGTACGGGGACCTCAAGAAGTTAAAAATGTACATGTTGAACCTTTGATACCTACCTTTATAACTGAACTGTGACAGTTGTGACCTATTCCCTATATGCCAGAAACATATGCTAGGTTATTAAATCTTGTCTATAAAATATCAGTTTATATTATCTGTATAGGCTCATCTACCTTCAGACGTTGTAAAATCGTGACAAATGAGTCTTTTACCTTTTTTATTTGTGTAATTACTATACACACATGAATTAACAGTCCTATTACACTTACAGCTCAATAGCCTCAACAGAAGTAGCAGAAGTAGTGTCCCAGGCGGCCCGCGAGGGTCGTAGGTTCGTGGTCCACTTCGTGCGATGTTCGTACCTGATGCAGAGCCCCGCGGCGCAGGCCGTGCTGGCGGAGCGCCAGGCGCTGCCCGCCATGTTGCTGGGCTGCGCCGGCGGCGTCCTGGTCGCGGCCTGCTCCGTGCCGCCGGTCAGTCGATCATCTTCTAATTTTAATTCCTATGATTGTGGAAGATACTCGTCTAACTATGAACAGTCTGTGACGGTCCAGACTAAAGGCCTCCTCTATATGAAAAGCATTTGATATAGGTTTTTTTTATTTATATATTTCATGGGTCGACTTTTGACCACTATCTCGCCTGGTGATAAACGATTATGCGGTCTACGATGAAGCACGACGACCCATAAACAACCTATTTACTCGGGCCTTGAAGACACCCAGGTTATACCCTTCAGGAAATACAGAGTCTGGCAAAGAATTCCACTCCTTAGCAGTACGCACAAGGAAGCTTGATGCGAAGCGCTTCGTGCGTGTGGGTGGGACATCTACATCGGAATCGGTGACGCCTCGCCGATAGTCTTGTGGTACGATGATGGAAAGGACTAGGGGGAATCAAGTTGTGCAATTCCCCCGCACACTCACCGACATATATCCGGTAGAAAACCGAAGGGTTTGCAATTCTACGCCTGTTACTATTAAAAACATTGAAGCTCTTGATACAAATTGTGTCGTGTATCATGTCCAGGAGATGGTGACGCCGTCGTTCACGGCGCGCTCGTGGCTGGGCTGCGCGGCGCGAGTGTTCGGCGCCTCGTTACAGGGGGGGGAACACGAACATACACACGCCGTCATGACGCCTTCCAAGGTAGCCCTTATTACTAAGCTAATAACGTTGAAAATATAACAAAATCTGTTACACGATACCTGTGTTAGTGTTATGCAGTGATTGCTAGCTACTGTCAGTACAGAGGCCTTAGTATGAGTTTCTATTATGTTTAAAGTAAACGAAACGAGTACGCGTTCGGCGTGCTGATTGGCTGGCTCTAACAAACCAACCAATCAGAGCGCCGAACGAGGTCTCGTTTCTATCTTTGAACGTAAAACAAACTCAGAAACTGCTGCAAACACACCTTTTACCTATCACTTTGTAATGCAATATTAATACGGTGAAACTTTGGCACTGAATTACCTCTGTTAGTAGGACGAGGTAAACCTCTATATATGGGATTTGTTCTTTCGATTTATCATTATAGCCTCTATAACTGAGACAGGGAGTAAATTTTACATGCATAAACTTCTGTAACTGAGATAACATTGTTTGTTTACGCATTCTTATCTACCCACAAATTCCACACGTAATTCCAAGCCCACCTCTATTAATGGAACCCTCTGTAAATGAGACAGATATTTATTTATACCTGTATATCTGAGACACTGGGTAAGTGGAATACCTCTATAAGTGAAACGACATTGTAGGTCCCTTGATGTCTCACTTAACCAGGTTTCACAGTATTTATTCAGATTGCAAAATTTAAAAAAAAAATACAAACACAAAACAATATCCAATTTCAATCTAGCTTCATCAAAGTAAAAGTATTTTTTCTTAGAAAATAGTAAGA